TGATGAAATATCAAGCAATTTTAACAGAACAAGATGATGTAAGTTTAAGGACTACTAACCTGTTAAATCCAGCAGCCTTTCTAGGAACGGACCTAGAAGAAGGGACGCTTGAACACAACTGTATAGAGGTCATCGAGCATACATATGCAAGTAGAACAGATTTAAAGGATGAACCTCTTGAACAACCTGACTGGGAACTTTTCACAGATGGTAGCAGCTTTGTGGAAAATGGAACACGGTATGCAGGATATGCTGTAACAACACAGCAAAAGATAATTGAAGCAAAAGCGCTACCTCCTGGAACATCAGCACAACGGGCTGAACTCATAGCTCTTATGAGAGCACTGGAACTGAGTAACAACAAAAAGGTAAATATCTGGACAAATTCAAAGTACACGTTCGGCGTAGTACATATACATGGAGCATTATGGAAACAATGAGGGCTTCTATCTTCTCAAGGGACTAATATAAAATATCAAAAAGAAATTTTGGAATTAATAATTGCTGTGCAAAAGCCTAAACAGGTGGCCATCATGCATTGCAAAGCGCATCAAGGAGGAACTTTAAAGATATCTGAAGGAAATACATTGGCAGACCGGACAGCTTGACAGGTGGCCCGGAAGGTATGAAATATAATGGCACTGATACCTCTCAAGGTAAGCCCACTCCATACCTATCTCTCACAAGATCCAAACTGTTCAAAGGAAGATGAGAAATTGGCAGGACTTTTAAAGGCTCAAAAGAATTCTGAAGGATGGTATACAACAGTAACCGGACAAATAATAGTGCCACCAGCTATAATGCAAAAAATTCTACAGATCGAACATCAGAAATGTCATTGGGGTGCAGAAGCATTGGTGACTTATTTAAAGCGAGGAATAATTTCCACACAGATGTTAACCATGACAAAATCAGTAGGGTCAAAATGTGAAATTTGTTTGAAAAATAACCCAATAGTAAGAAAACAGGTTGAAATGGGAAGGATCAGAGTAGGGATGGAACCAGGAGATTATTGGCAAATTGATTTTGTGGAATTACCAAAGACACAAGGGTACAAATACTTATTAGTAGGGGTTGACACCTTTTCTGGATGGCCGGAGGCCCTTCCCTGTCGCACCAATCAGGCAAAAGAGACAGTAAAGTGGTTGCTCAGAGAAATTATTCCACGATTTGGTGTTCCTTTAGGAATATCATCAGACAGAGGCCCACACTTTATTGCAACAAGAGTACAGGAGATAAGTAAACTGCTAGGAATATCATGGAATCTACATACTCCCTGGAGACCTCAATCTAGTGGACAGGTGGAAAAGATGAATCAGACAATAAAAAGGCAAATCAGTAAAATATGCCAAGAGGCCAAAATAAAGTGGCCACAGGCACTGCCCATAGCCTTGTTGCGAATCAGAATAAAACCTAGAAGTGGAATGTCAGTAAGCCCCTATGAAATCCTCTATGGAAAACCATATGAGGCACCAGAACCTAATCTCGATACCCACATTAAAGGGAATCAGGATGTTTACAATTATGTGCTATCTCTAGGTAAAACCCTAACCAGACTGAGAAGCACCCTGGTGTGGAACAGGCCATTGTCCTTGGAAAATCCAGTGCATGACATTCAGCCAGGAGATCAAGTATGCATCCAAAATTGGAATGAGGAACCATTAAAAGAAAGTCTTATCCTAGGAATTTCTCAGAAAATGGTTTGACGAAACTTAAAACAAGATGCCATTCTGACCTGCAAGTTCACGGAAACCATTCTGATGGGACCAACACTTATAAAGGGAAATGACTCACAACAGTGCATGGACTCATTGAATCATAGGAGCAGTAACTAGGGAACATCCAAAGTACCCCACACCTCCACCTACCTATCAGGAGACAGCTATCTAAGAGAATGAAAATACTTGCTTAAGTTAAATGAAGTATTTTCAAAGGGGGGAAATGTTAGAGAGGGTGAAGTTTTTACAATAAAATAATCATATAAAATAGTAAAATGATTATATTTGAGAAATTTATAAATCAATAGTGAGGCTTTGTATATTAGAAGACATTGTAACTTTGCCGTTTTGTATCATAGTTACTCTGTAACTAAATGATACAATGGTAGTCTTGGTAGCAAGAGCTAACATAACTGTATATGGTGAGGGGAGTATGGGTGTATGTATTGTAAAACTCTACCCAAGCAGAACCTAAGTTTAAGATAGCCAAAAAGGGCATACCAGAAACATCCTGGTGAAGATAAGAGAATGCTAACGTCCACAAGATGATTGGGACCTAGCCAAGTAGAGAAAAGGTGAAGAGGACAACCTGAGGAAGACTTCTTACTTCATCTGAGGAAGACTCCTTACTTCATCAGGGCGACCACCAGAGGGGGCTGCGCAAGCGCAGAAGAGGCTGATGTCGTAATAGATTGATGTAGCAATCTTTGATGCATATGTATTAGTAAATGATGTAATCTGTGTTGAGTATGTATTAGTTACGAAATTTTAGTGTATAAATTGCGAACGCGATGTGACGGGAATCGGAACCAGATTTGGGTACGTACCCCTGGTTCCCGGCGCCTCAATAAAGCACCTCATATAACCATCCCGGTGGTTATGTGTCAGTTCTTACGCTAACAACCCAACTAATGGGAAATGCCCAACACCCCCTACTTGCCCAGGAGGTAGAAGTATTCTTAATAAAAGGCAAGGGTTGTAGACATAGGGATGGTGAAAAGGTATTCCTAAAGATTTAATGGATGGATTACCCACTGATAAATTGGAAAAGCTAGTATTAGACTGGCCCAAAATAAACCCCATGGGCCCTAAAGAATAGGAAAAACCTCTGCAAAATGTGAAGGGCCCTGGTGCCCCCACCACTTATTAACTTCCCCACCCCTTGATTGTGAGCGGAGGGGTGGAGGGTGGAGATATATTCGATAGCTCACTGAAAATAATAAAGGCAAATTACTTGTTTTGTGGGACCTAATCTAGTGCTGCATTTTCACTTGCTTTGTGAAAGTTTTGACAAGCAGTCAAATCCTGATATTAGGAGAAAAACTGCAGCAGGTAGAGGGCCCAGAGGCAAGATCCATAGCTAGGCTGCTTGAAGTGGCATGAAAGTTGTATAATAATCAAGAGGAGGCAGAGAAGAGGCAGGAAAAAGAACAAGTTACAAGGGATGTTAGGAAAACTCAGCTGTTTGCTACAGCCATTGCCAAGAACAGCAGAAGTGGTAATGGAAGAGTAAGAGGGAGGGGCCGTCTACCCCCTCGAGGAACCCTGGAGGCGGATCAGTGTTTGTACCGTAACCAGAAGGGTCATTGGGAGAGGGAATGTCCACCGAATCTAGGGCAAGTGGGGAAGAAGTCCCAGAAGGAGGAACCCAGAGTCACTGATCTACATTTAGATCACAACTCTGATTGATGCAGACCAGGGGAAAATTTAGAGAAATACCCAACCAAATCCCTGGTTACCCTCTGGTTGGGGTGAGAATAAATTAAATTTTTAGTGGATACAGGAGATACATTCTCAGTTTTAAATGCACAAAAAGTTGAACTAAGCAAGCAAACAGTTCCTTTAATAGGAGCAACTAGGAAAAGAGAAGTATGGCCTTTCTTTCAGGCTCTTAGTTGTGGAATTAGCAAAAGAGTTTTTACTCACACATTTCTATATAACCCAGAGCGTCCAATGCCCTTGTTGGGGAAAGACTGGTTAAACAAACTGAATGCACAAATAAGTTTTGATAAAGGAGATATTCAGATACATACTCCAGAAGATAAATCCCTGAAGGCACAAGTATTTATGTTACAGGTGAACAAAGAGGGAGAAACAGTGGCTATCTCTAAGGAAGTACTCAATGCAGTAAATCTATTGGTCTGGGCCACTGATGCACCTGGCAGGTGAGACAAGGAGGAACAAAAGCACAAAATGTAATCAGTTCTAAGTAATGTTAAGTTTGATGGCTTTGTAATGGAAAATAACTGCCCTGCTTGAAGGTAGTTGACATAGTTTCAGGTCCTTAGGACCTTAGTACAAAAGGTGTAAGAAAATCAGAATAGAAAAACAGGACCTGGGGATGGGGAGTATCTGGGACTAGCAGATGTCCAGGGTGGGCACAGATAAATTAACTGATAAGTACAAGGACAGGATGATTGCTATGTCTGTAAGGTTAATTAAGATGGTTATGAAGATCGTTGGCAAAAGTAAATGACCCTTAAAGACCACCATCACATTTTTGTATGCATGCAGGAAACTTGTTGGAAAATGATGGAATATGCCCAGTGACCATATAAGGATGGCCTATATAGCAATACGGGGACACACGTTAGGAGGAGCTATCCCCCGTGTCTCCCGGCACCGCAATAAAGAATGCCTGCTTGTCAACTTGAAACTCTGTTGGCGAGTTTCTTCCTGGAGTTTTCTCTGAATCCCAGGTCAGAGGCGGCCTAACCTGTCCATACCAGGACTTGCCCAGGACCCAGCAGCTCTGGTGATGTGGGCAGATGATGCCAGTAGGGGCAACCACCACCCCATGAACAGATAAAACACTCCCCCTGGGAGGGTGAGCAACTTGGAGTGTGGTGGTGCAGTTCAGTTTGTGCAGGCAGGACAAGTGGGAAGGGCCCCAAAGCTCGAGAAGCTTAAGAAGTAAGTTCAGCCAGTGGTCATCGAGAAGGTGCTCAAGTGTGGTGTATCAAGGAGGGACTCCAGTTCTGGTAAAATATGAAGACCTTTATTTCGTGTCTCGCATGCCTTTTATAGCCTACTAAGTGCTAAGCAGTAACTTCCCACTCTTTTACTCCCTTATCATCCCGATTTAGAAAAACTACTAAGGGTTACAAATATTCACACTGTTTGGTCTGTCTTTGAGATGCACATCCTGCTTTATCTTGCAAACTGCCTGCTTTGTTTTGCTAAGGGATATTTATCCTTCATTGTTCTCTTTACAGTTCCCAAGAGCAGGGCATCGACACCTGGTGTTTTCTTCAGTCCTCCAACTCAGGGGACTGAGCAGCCCAAGATCTATCAGTATTATTAAAAGAATGAGGCAAAGAAAGCACTGAATGCTTCTGCTTTTTTTTTCCATCCCTACTTGTCAGGTGACCATCTTCAACAAGCACTGGTCTTATGTTTTCTTTAGACCTCTTTTTGCTATTAACATACTGAAAAAAAAGCCTTTCTTGTTGTCTGACCCAACACTGGCTACTTTCAACTCTAGTTGAGATTTGGTCTTTTGTGTCTTCTCCCTGCATATATGAACCATGGCTCTGTAATCTTCCTGCAAAGCCTAACCTTGCTTCCAGAGATCATTTAATTTCTTTTTCCTCAAGCTCCACAAGGAGTTCCCTGTTCAGCCAAGGTGGTCTCCTACCCTGCTTGCTTGACTTGTAACACACTGGAATTGCCTGCTTCTGTGCTTCTAAAAGGTGGAATGCTTCCAGCATTCATGGACTCCTAAGCCCTGAAAAGCAGATTCCCAGGGGACGCTGCTAAGTAGCTCCCTGAGTAGCTTAGTTTACTCTTCTGAAGTCCAGGGTAGCAACTCTGCTGTCCTTTTTTCTCATTACACCAAAAACATTAAACTCAACCATTGTGTGATCACTGTGTCCAAGACAGCCACCTGTTATCACATCCCCCACAAGTTCTTCTCTATTCATAAATAACAAGTCTACAATGGCATCTTTCCTAGTTGGTTACTGAGTACCTGTGACAAGAAATTATCTCCTACAAACTTCAAGAATTTCCAAGACCTGCTCATCACAGCAGTATGGTATTCCCAGTTAATGCCTGGCAAGTTGAATGTTTTAACATTCTTCCCAGGGCTCTGAAGTCTCTTTTGATTGACCTCAAACTTTTTGTTGCAACATCATTTGTACCCACATGAAGGAGCAGGGATAGCAGTTTGAAGAGCCTAGTTCAACCTTCAGTCTTGTGGTGATGTTTCTAATTTGGGCCCCAGGCAACAAACTTCCCTGAAAAGAGGGTCTGGTCTGTAAACAGGTGCTTCCATTCTGCACAGGAGGGAATCACCAATGACCATAACTTGTCATTGTTTCTTCTCGGCACTGGTTTCACTGCAGGTTTTGTTGTGAGGTTGGTCTCATTTACTGTGGCAAGACTGCTTGCACATGTTCCTCCTCTTTCTCATTATGTGCTTCATCTACCAAAGCCAGGGCCTTGTACCTAAAGTAGCCAAGAGAGTAACTTAGAGGGTAAGGAAGGGTTTCTCTTACTGCTCCATAATGTAACCTTCTTTCACCCCTCCAGGGCCAGTTGCTTGGGGAACGCTCCCTGTTCAGATAAGCCTCTACTTGTCTATGTGTATCCCTTGTGGGTTTTTTAAAATTACATGAGTAACACTCCCTAATCCAAAGTTGTGTTTACTTAGAGGCTTCCAAATAAAAATATTTTGTTTCTTGGAAATCTCAATGTTTTCTAGATGCTCAGAACATTCACAAAATTGATTGGAAGGTCTTTTTAAAAGTTAAATGACTTGCAATAAATTTTCCCATTGTATTACATTCAAACTTTTAGCACTGAATGTTAACTTATGGCTCTATAGTAAGCATACATCAGTCCTCTTTTCCCTATGAATCATGTACACATATTTATGAAGATGCTCCTTTTTAACCCTAGATGTATATATAATGTATAAATAGTGTATAATGTATATATAGTGTATATGTATAACTGTCATCAGGGGACAATTAAGTTTGAATCATATATCTCAGTGACCAGAACACTGAATTAATATATACTGTTACATAAATATTTTTAACTCATGAATTAAGCAAAAAAGCAAAGCTCAAGAAGAAATATCTAGAAACTTAAGTGATATGACTTTCAAAAATATATTTATATATTTAAAATTCTTTCCAAACTCTGGATTCTCAGAGCACAGCTTTAAAAGTTATTAAAAGACAATCTTAGAGCAACCAGGTACTTGAGAATTACACATGAATGAGACAGATACTTCTCTGCTCAAAGAAAGTTCTGAAAAAGAAGCTGTATAGTTATATTCAGCTGTTCTAAACTTTAAATGCATATAGGAAGAAGCATAATGTGCATATTCAATGGTTTTTTAATCAAAAAGGTTAAAAAACTAAAAAAAAAATATTAAAAGAGCTGAAAAGTTTCAAAACAATATAGTCTGAATCACTACAAACGTTTTTTACTAAAACATTAGACTTATACACATAGAACAGGTATAAAAAGAAATAAGCATCCAATGCTGTCCTGGGTTCAGCAGTAGCAGTCATTTTTCTCCTTCGTGGTAGCTGGTGCAGTGCTGTGTTTTGACTTTCGGCCTGGGAACAGAGCTGATAACAATGATGTTTTGGTTTGGCCAAGGACTTTGTGAGCCTCATGCTCTGCCAGGGAGGAGGGGAAGCTGGGAGGAAGCAGAGACAGGACACCTGACCCAAACTGACCAAAGAGGTATTCCATACCACAGCATGTCATGCCCAGAAGGTAAGTGAGAGTTACCCGGAAGGGCTAGGACTGCAGGGCTGGAGGAGGTATCGGTGGGTGCTTGGTCGGGCTGGGGGGGTGGGGGGGAAGTTATCAGTCAGCTGGTGCTGAGGTGTTGTATTCTCTTCCCTTGTTATCTCCTTTACCGTTATTATTACTGGTGGTAGCAGTTGTGATTTGTCTTATACCTTAGTTACTAAACTGTTCTTATCTCAACCTGTGGGAGTTGCATTCTTTTCGATTCTCCTCTCCATCCCTCCGGGAGTAGGGGGAGGGCAAGAAGGGGGGGAAGTGAGTGAACAAGCTGGCTGGCTGGGTTTAAACCACGACAAATGCCAACATCTTAATGCAAAGATTTGTTATGGAAGTAACTCCTGAATTACAAAACTGGAATTATAAATATGATGTCCATCATATTTAAAAAATCATGGCAGTCAGGTGAAGTTCCCGACGACTGGAAAAAGGGTAATATAACCCCCATTTTCAAGAAAGAGAAAGTGTAAGACCCAGGAAACTACAGACCAGTTAAGTCTCACCTCTGTGCCTGGCAAAATCTTGAAGCAGATTCTCCTAGAAAGCATGCTAAGTCACATGAAAAACAAGGTGGTTGGTGACAGCCAACATAGCTTCACTAAGGAGAAATCCTACCTGACCAATTTGGTGGCCTTCTATGATGGGGCTACGGAACTGATAGACGGGCAGAGCAGTTGATGTCATCTACCTGGACTTGTGCAAAGCATTTGACACTGTCCCACATGACATCCTTGTATATAAATTGGAGAGACATCAATTTGATGGATGGACCACTTGGTGGATAAAGAACTGGCTGGATGGCTACATGCAAAGAGTTGTGGTCAATGGCCCAATATCCAGTTGGAGACCAGTAATGAGTGGTGTCTCTCGGGGATCAGCGTTGGGACTGGTCTTGTTCAACATCTTTGCTGGCGACATGGACAGTGGGATTGATGCACCCTCAGCAAGTTTGCCGACAACACTAAGACTGAGAAAGTTGTGGCTGTTCAAGACTGTGGAAGAGAAGCTGCATGGAGACCTCATAGCAGCCTTCCAGTGTCTGAAGGGGGCCTGCAAGGATGCTGGAGAGTGACTCTTCATTAGGGACTGTAGTAATAGGACATGGGGAAAAGGGTTCAAATTTAAGCAGGAGAAGTTTATGTTAGATATAAGGTATAAGTTTGTGGAGACAGTGTTCTCACAGGAGAATGCATAACTGGTACATAAACTCTGAATAATCCTGAAAGATACAGCAAGGCCATGAGAGGCCCAAAGAAGCTTAAGCAAGCAAGATAAGAAGAAGCTGGAATTCACTGAGTTAATGAGAACTGTGGGACTGTTGGCAAGCTTTCGAGGTCAAGTTCTCACACCTGTGCTTAACCAATTATATGTTAGTCACTAAGGGTCTTCAAGACATGTATCCAATCATAATATGCCAAATCACTGTAAGTGCATGTAAGAAATAGTATATAAGGAGTTAAGGCTTTGTAATAAATTTGGCAATCGCTTGATCACATTGATTGTCTCTGCGTTGTCTGTGACTCCCACGTCAACAGAAGTTCTTCCTTGTGAAGGTGGTGAGGCACCAGAACAGGTTGCCCTGGTAGGTTGTGGCTGCTTCATCCCTGGCAGTGTTCAAGGCCAGGTTGGATGGAGTCTTAGGTGACATGGTCTAGGGTGAGGTGTCCCTGGCCATGGCAGGGGGGTTGGAACTAGATGATCTTAAGGTCCTTTCCAACCCTAACTATTCTATGTGATTGTCCTGGGTTCAGCAGTAGCAGTCATGTTTTTCCTTCGTGGTACCTGGTGCAGTGCTGTGTTTTGACTTCCATCCTGGGAACAGTGTTGGTGAAGCCGATGTTTTCAGTTGTTGCTAAGTGATGTTTACCCTGACCAAGGACTTTGTGAGGCTCATGCTCTGCCAGGGAGGAGGGGAAGCTGTGAGGAAGCAGAGATGGGGCGCCTGACCTGGGCTAGCCAGGGAGGTATTCCATACCATAGCACGTCATGCCCGGGGTGGGGGGTAACTGGGAGTTACCCGGAAGGACAGGGGCTTCCGGGTGGGACTCGTTTTCTTGGCCAGTGGTATCGTATTCTCTTCCCTTGTTATTTTCCCTTATCATTGTTGTAGTTGATAGTAGCGGTGGTGATTTGTGTTGTACATTGGTTGCTGGACTGTTCTTGTCTCAACCCGTAGGAGTTGCACTCTTTCGATCCTCCTCCCCGTTCCTCCGGGAGCGGGGAAGGGGAGAGCCCCGGTGGGGGGGGGGGGGGGGACAGACCTCGATTGTTGTCAGCTGGGCACCACTCACTGGGAGTGAGTGAACAAGTTACCTGACTGGGTTTAAACCACGACAGTGATAGAATTATCTCAGGGAAGATAAAACAGCAACCAAGAGGGACTACTTCATAGCCCTTGCTACTAGTCTTCTACATTCAGTACAGCCTAGCACCGCTGCTGCATTAACATCTGATGTAACTAGAAAACATTTTCCCTAAACTTTCACCACTATTTCTCTTCTTCACCATGGTACCTTCTGATAAAACATATTGGGGGTGGGGGTGTGCATGTAGTTTTGTTGCACCTTTTGAATTGGAAGTTATTTTAGCAGTAGTCCTTTTTATCAGATACATATCTAATAGTCTGATAATTTGCTGTCTGCCAAAACACTTAACCCAAAAGAGTAAAGCAGATTTCATGTGCTAGAACCAGTGAAAACAAGCTTTTTACCACAGATATAGGAACTCGCTATAATTTTTAGCATGCTATTTGAGGAAAAAATTCCTTAATAGTGAAACAAAAATACAAGTTTTTAACTATTGCAAACAGCCCTAATATGAATTAAATTATTACTTACCAAAATCTACTCTTGTTAGTATGCACTGCATTGGATGGTCAGTTGTATGCCTCGTTGTTGTTGCACCACTTTCATAACAAGTTGCACATAAATCATAATCGTAGCAAATTAAACACTTGTATCTGCGACCTCGAAAATTTCCTTTTAAGCATGCATCACAGCTGACACCTATGAACAAAGAAAACCGCTTGAAAACAACAATTTCACATTATTTTAATGATACAGATTTGTTGCTATCACCCCCCAATAACAAAAGGAATTGAGCCGAGCTCTTAAGCAGCTGATGCACAAGACAACTCACTTTAACGCATTTCATACCTTTTAAAATGCAATAATCATCTAAAGTAAAAGTCAAAGTCAAACTCAAAATAAAAACCATTCAAGCATTCAAAACAATAATTAGTTAGACTATAAATTCTTTGAATCACTTTTTTCCCCCTGTTCAGCAGCTTGGTTCAAAACTCTCTCAGGGTTAAATAGTACAGTGGTTCATACTGAAGTTTTGTGAAAACAAGCAAACAAAGAAAAACCCTACAGCAAACCATCCCACAAGCCACACAAAAACACACACCACCACAACACCATCCCTTCCTGGCTTTTGTGTTTATTTTTATATTTTCTCTTAGTTCAATGCTGAAGAATACCACAACCATTTTTCATAATGTATACATATCTGGGAACATTATCTTATAAAGTTTTTTGCAGTTTTCTCTGTCATTTCAGCTCTCTGCTGTTAATTTAGATGAGGGCAAAGGAAGCATTATCATTTCATCTGTAAAAGCCCATGAAAACTTGCAGTAGTAAATTAAGGGCCTTCATGAAAATAACTAGTACATACAACATATATAATATTTTGATCAAAGTCCTCTTTGAAGATCAATTTAAATAAGCTTTTCAATACTTCAGTACAAATACAGAAAAAGTTATAGAAATATTGTTATTAGAAGAAAGCGCTGACACTGACTCCAAGAGGATTCGTGGAAAAAGACCAAAAAGGTCTCAAAACTACAACTATCCCAATGATCATTTCCTAACTATAAATTCTATGATCAGATAAAAATCTGGTTTAACACAAGGCACCACTACTATTTGTAGCACCAGGTCCAGAGAATAAAATTATGTAGAGAGTATTCTCTCAACATCTCTCCAAGCTAGTATTTCTTCATATAACTCCAAATTACCATATTTTCAGTTTGACAACATGACAGCAGGTGGCATAACACGCTACTTTCATATACTTTTAATGTAACAGGTGAGGAAAGCATCAAGGAAAAAAAAAAAGCCTCGAAAGTTCATCTCTCTTTTTTTTTTTAACCTATACATTGTGTTAATTAAAAATTTAGAAGTTTGCCTCTGCCCTGGGTTCGCTGGGATCAAGTTATTTTTCTTCCTAGGAGGCTGGTGCAGTGCTGTATTTTCAGCTTTAGTGTTGAGAATGCTGATAACACACCAATGTTTTAGTTGTTGTTAAGTAGCACTTACACTGATCAAGGACTTTTCAGTCTCTTATGATTTGACAGTGAGGAGGGGCACAAGAAGCCAGGAAGGACCTGAGACAGGACACCTGACCCAAACTAGCCAAAGGGGTATTCCTTTGCATGTCATGCATTCCACAGCATGTCATGCCCAGTATACAAACTGAGGGGAGTTACACAGTAGGGACCATCTTGCTGCTCAGGGATGGGCTGAAGAACGGTCAGCAGGTGGTGAGCAATTTTATTACGCATCACTTGTGGTTTTTTATTTTGAATTACAATTTCTTCTTGTTTCTTTTTCCTATTATTATCACTGTTGTCATTATTTCTATTATTGTTATATCTTATTTAATTTCAATTATTAAATTGTTCCTATCCCAACCCATGGGTTTTACCATTCTCCTCCCCATCTCACCCAGCAAGGGGGGGAATGGGAGTGAGTGAATGAATGTCTGTGTGGTACTTACTTACCAGCTGGATTTAAGTGACAACAGTCCTTTTTGGTGCCCAAGGTGAGGCACGAAGGGTTGGGATAACAACAGATCTGACCAGGGTATGTTAAAAAAAAAAATTGTTGTAAGCATTCACTGTATCGTAATAATAGCTGGTCATAATGTTCCCTCATTCGTTCTCAGAATTCATGTGCATGTGCTAAATGGTATGCTATGTAATGCTGTTCTTGTCATATGTGCTCCCTGTGCTGATGTTTATTCACTGGGCTTGGGCTAAGGTTGTTTCATTGTACTTTCTAGTGCTGGGTTATGATATGATAGAATCACTGGTCATGAAACTAATCTAGTATGCACACTCGGTACTGTCATCACCTTTGTCCATCAGGAGCAATCTGGTGGGAACTGGTTTTGCCATAAAACAAAGTAAGGTCAACAGACCTGCACAGGAGATTCAATTTTTGGGAATAAGATGGATGTTGTCACATCCCCACATACGTGATCCACAAAACAACAGCAAAGTCTCCACCAACTAATAAGAAAGAAATACAAGCTTTCTTAGGTATTTTGGAGAATGCACATCCCAAATTACAGTCTGACTGTAAGCCCTCTCTATCATGTGACCTGGAAGAAGAACGATTTCAAATGGGGCCATGAGCAACAACAAGATTTTGAACAAATTAAATGAAAGTTCATGCAGTAGCCCTTGGACCACGCTGGACAGGGCAAAATCTGAAAAATGTGCTCTACACCGCAGCCGGGGAGAATGGTCCTACCTAGAGCCTCTGGCAGAAAACTCCAAGGGAGGCTCAAGGTCGATCCCTCGGCTTTTGAAGTCAGGAATACAGAGAATCCAAGGCCGGCTATACTCCAATTGAAAAAGAGATACTGGCAGCCTATGAATGGATTCGAGCCGCTTCAAAAGCGACTGGCACTGAATCACAGCTCCTCCTGGCACCCCAGATGCGCATGCAGGGCTGGATGTTCAAAGGCACGGTCTCCTCTACACATCACGCAACTGATGCTAAATGGAGTAAGTGGGAAGCACGTATACAAGTTTGTTTTCCCTTAACACATTGGACTCACTATTCTGGTATGTCAAACTTAATCACATTTTTCACCTCTACCGTGGCTGAAAGTTTCAGAGAATAAGTTATCACACAAGCATTTTATATGCAACATGCTTAATACTAACATATTAAATAAATACAGTTGCATATTTATTCATGTTTTTCCAATCAAATATAATTTATTCTTATGCTATAATATGTGGTTAACCCCTTCTAAAAGTAAACAGAATAGAGGAGATAAGTATCAGATTAAGATGAACATCTGATATAATGTCAAAGAAAGGAGAACAGTACTGAATAATATTAGGGTTAAAATACCAACATGCACTGGGATTAATTATCAAAAGTACAAACAGAACATCAAATGTGAAATCTAACAAGATAACATGAACATCTAAACAAAAAAAAAAATTGTTCCCTTTCATAAGCAGAAATAACTTATTTTCTCTCTAAACAGTAAAAGAATTTTCCATTTAAATTCAACAAATACAGCACACTATCAAGCTGATAATAGGAGTACGTAAAAATAACATTGGAAATCCCAAAATTAGCTCACACAGGGTACACAGCCGTCCTGGGTTCAGCAGTAGCAGTCATTTTTCTCCTTCTTAGTAGCTGGTGCAGTGCTGTGTTTTTTACTTTCAGCCTGGGAACAACGCTTATAACACCAATGTTTTCAGTTGTTCCTAAGTATATGTTTACTCTGACCAAGGACTTTATCAGTCTCATGCTCTGACAGGGAGGAAGGGAAGGGGAGGAAGCAGAGACAGAACACATGACCCAAACTAACCAAAGGGGTATTCCATACCACAGCACATCATGCCCAGTATATAAACAGGGGGGAGTTACCCAGAAGGGGTAGATCGCTGCTCGGGTCAGGCTGGGTATGAGTTGGTGGGTAGTGAGCAGTTGTATTCTCTTCCCTTGTTATTTCCCTTACCATTATTATTACTGGTGGTAGCAGTAGTGGGTTTGTGTTATACCTTAGTTACTGGGCTGTTCTTATCTCAACCCCTGGGAGTTACATTCTTTCGATTCTCCTTCCCATCCCTCCGGGAGCAGGGGGGAGGAAGGTAGGGAGTTGAGCAAGCAGCTGCGTGGTTCAGAGTTACTAGCTGGGCTTAAACCAGGACAGTTCTTTGTGGCACCCAACATGGGGCACAAGGGTTGAGATAACAAAAGATCTGACCAGAGTGTGTCTAATCATATTTGTGATAAGCATTCATTGTTTTGGATTAACAGTCACTCCTCACAATGCTGATTTATCGGCTTTCAAAGCTGTTGCTCTTCATCTCAGAGTTTCAGCATGTCGCACCTCACTTACAGCCAGTATTTGGTGTTTTAGTGTTTATCAGCTAGGGGGCTTGAGCTATGGTTCTTCTTTCACTCTACTTTATGGTAATGACTTGTAATACAATAGACTCATTGATCATGAAACTGATCTGGCTTGCATTCCCAGTGTGGTCATCACCTCTATACTTTCAGAGGTATATAATGGAATTGTTTAGAAATTACACATAAACCTATGAAGGAGACATTCCCTATCACCTCCAGCTCCCCCTCCAGATGTGCATGGGGATCACCATGTTGGCACACATACAGTGTATTTTACCCACGACCATTATGTCCAATCTTGAAAGTTAAGCAGAGTTGGGTTTGGGTCATGTCTAGGGTTAGATGACGATATAGGAGGACCAAGAGATTTTCCCTGAGGCTGGACAGTCATGAGTGGCAGGGTGCGTGGGAGTGTATGGGCAAGTATCTAGGCCACTGGGCCCCTCCAGTGCTTTGGAACTTTACCACTGAACAAGGGCAAAATCCAGAAAAATTAGTAAAATCTTAAATGAAGTGTGTTGTCATTCTGGCCACACCAGAGACGGACAAATCATGGCAATGTGCTTGTTCCTGGCCTACACCTAGAGCCTTGTTCAACACTATACAGCACCTTGAAAGGGAAAAAAAATGTCTCTGGATCTGATGGCAAAGCAACAGAATGCGTAGCTAGCCCAACTACAAATACAGCACCTACACCAACCCTAGTCACAAGTACAGCAGCTACCCAAACTGACTGCAAAAGATAATGCAACTAATCCAATTCCAAGCACAGCAACTACACTAACCACAGCGACAAGTACAGCAGCTACAAAAACACAGCAACAGACAGTGCAGCTGCT